TTGATATTGTATCCCAGGTTGCTACTAAGGTGTGGCTTGGTCTTTGTTATGGTATCCCAGGTGGTTGCTAAGGTGTTGCTAAGCCATTGCTATGGTACTCCAGATGGTTGCTAAGCTGTTATTAGGCTGTTGGTATGGTATGCCAGGTGGTTGCTAAGGTGTTGCTAAGCCATTGCTGTGGTACTCCAGATGGTTGCTAAGGTGTTATTAGGCTGTTGGTATGATATCCCAGGTAGTTGCTTAGGTGTTCCAGATGGTTGCTAAGGTGTTACTAGGTTGTTGGTATGGTATTTCAGGCAGTTGCTAAGGTATTGCTAAGCCAATGTTATGGTATCCCAGATGGTTCCTAAGGTATTGCTTGGTCGTTGCTATGGTATTCCAGATTGTTGCTAAGGTGTTACTAGGCTGTTGGTATGGTATCCCAGGTAGTTGCTAAGATGTTGCTAAGCTCATGTTATGGTATCCCAGGTGGTTGCTAAGGTGTTGCTAGGCCATTGCTGTGGTATTCCGTATGGTTGCTAAGGTATTACTAGGCTGTTAGTATGGTATCCCAGGTAGTTGCGAAGGTGTTGCTAAGCCGATGTTATGGTATCCCAGGTGGTTGCTAATGTGTTGCTTAGCCATTGCTATGGTACTCCAGAAGGTCGCTAAGGTGTTACTAGGCTGTTGGTATGGTATCCTAGGTAGTTGCTAAGGTGTTGCTAAGCTCATGTTATGGTATTCCAGATGTTTGCTAAGGTGTTACTGGGCTGTTGGTATGGTATCCCAGGTAGTTGCTAAGCCAGTGTTATCGTACCCCAGCTGGTTGTTATCCATTCATATTCGCAAAATCATAATCATCATAATTTAACATATTTGTATTTTATTTGCTATTTGCTGGTCTGAGTTGTGAAATGACAACCTGGCTTTTTTAAAAAAAGGAAAGTCAACAATTTTAAAAGTTTAAAAATGATCGTTCAGAAAACAATGACATTTTCTGCCTGTGGCGCTGGTCAATAGTGGAAATGTTCAGCACCTCTGCAAAACAAAACAATCAAGAAACAAATGAACTGCAAATGAACATTTTGACAAAATTCAGTTCTGAGGATGAATAAAATAAACTCAAAGCTCAACATGAAAGCTCTACCAGAGAGAAATGCTCATTAAGAGAAGCCTTTATTATTCTTTTTTCAATTGACTTTTAATTTATTTAATTTATTTAATCTTATGCAAAGACAGGATTGTTTCTTCTGTGGACAAAAAATGTAATGATTTATTTAGACTTTCACAAAAGATTTTCCATTTTTTTTAAACAAACAGTAGCCAGTGGCAGTACAAATGTAAAACATTCATTAGATTTTAAAGACATGTTCAAAATAGGGCTGGGCCATATGGCAAAATGTAATATCACTATACCTCAGGACGTTTTTTATGATACATGAAATGTCACAATGTTTATTTTTTCTGACATCAACAATCAGAACAGCCAAAGTAGTGCCACATTTTACTACTATCAAAAACACATTCTGTGCTGCTCTAAATCCAGTTAAACACAACTACTCGATAAGCATATTGTGACATATTGTGATGTAATTAATCACAATAACGACAAATATTGTCATATTTCGCAGCAGTAGTTTAAATAAAACATTTTATCAAAACATATTTGATGTGTCTTATTTTATTTTATTAGTTAGCTGGACTGTCATTAAGGGTTAAGCATTTAAAAGTCCCCATTTTTGCCATTCACTCATGTTAGTTTGTTTGGAACTCTGTAAGCAAGAAATTTGATATGACTGGACCTTAGCAAGTTTTGGCTGAATACCATTTTATGGCCTTTATTCCAGGCTCTAGCTTGAACATGGACATTAAAAACTTATCAACATTTAGGTGACATATTCTTAAAATTACTGTTACCTGAAAATTATTGGAGGAGCCTGTTAACCTATTAGCTACAGCAATGAGGACATAATATAATCTAGTTAGTGTTATTTATCATTTATCAGTCATGTATTTATTCTTTTCCTAATTGTAAGGCTTTCCTCCTTACAAACTGTAAAAACTCAGTCCCTAGTGTATGCTACTGGGTGGGAAAGTTACCGGTATAAAAGGGGAACACCAGTTTGACGCTGTTCAATGATATGAATATTATATTGTAAGATGGACTTTTTCTTAAAAACTTGGACTTTTTAAATATGAAAAACGCATATTATTCATTAAACATGAGCCTGAGCCATTTTTATAATGAACACTTTTTATTTTTTATGTCATGATAATTCTTTAAAGTGTGATAATATCATGATATAAATGAGCTCATTTTCCCCAACACCATCCTAAGCCATTAAAAATGGCCATAAAGCATCAAATGACCGCCACCCTGCCGCGCTGGCTGGATGTGAAACAGAGATGAGTATGAAACATTTCCAGAGATGCAGACAGGTTGAGGTTCAGCCTCTTTTCTCCAAAATCAATGCTATTAAACTGCTCCAGCAACTGGAGGATCGGTCATTAAAAAGGCATTGTGTTCCCCCAGGCAAATCACGCAACACTTAAGGCTGAACAATGCCCTGCAGCTCGGCCTAGATAGCAATGTAGTGAGCCGGGGCTGCACTGGGTGGGAGGAGAGCTGGAATTAATGTCTGCACTTTAAAGCCAGACTGCTCCGTTCCGCACAAAGCTGCCGCCAAATGGATTTAGCCATAGGTTCCCATCGCTTCTCCAAATGGACGCGTAACCACCATTCCGTCTCGATGATTGGCAGTTCAAGCCGGGGGACACAAAGCTGAGCACATATCCTCAAGGTTGCGGCAAATATGAAAGCGCGGGCTGAAGAGGAGTGATGTATGCTTTGAGGCTGGTCCAGAGAGCAGGCAGGTAAAGCGTGGCGCGAAGGCGCGGTACATTATTTACTTTGAGCGCCGTTCCGACTGTCAGACTTCATTTCTCAGATACTGTTTATTTCCTGGCCGAGAAACGCAGAGGCTGTTCTGCCAGTGTCCATCTCAATCACTCTCACTTACCCATAGGCCTCCAGGCCGGTCAGTTGAGGCCCATTTGAGGGGCTCTTCTTTAGCCAGCAGTTATCAGCTCTTGGTCTTGGTGAAGATTTCAGTGTCAAACTTCCTGCGCAACACGTTTTTTTGTTGTTGTTTTTTTTTATTATTACTGCGACTGTCGCATTGTGACTGTGTATGTTTGCAAGAAAATTTAATTGCATTTCTGCATAAATGTAAATGAAGTTATTCAGGGTAGTTTGGTGTTAAATGCTCCGTTCTAGAGAAACTGACCAACACAGAATTATTCACAGTGGTGGTGACAGGAACCAGACCTCTAAAAGCTGCCTCACAGAAAGCTAATAGGCAAAATAGTAATGACTACACTGCCTGATGTCTGAGAGATTGTTTTATGGTTTTGAGATAAGATTTTAGCATAAAATGTATTTTTTAAACCCATTCATGGCGGAGGGGTACATGCAGTGTGTTCTAAGGCAAAATAGTCCCCACAGGAAAATTATTTTTCCAGATATACCACCATCATCAACATCACATATGTTTGTGTTGAAGCGTGGGATTTTATGGGATTAATTATGTAATTACATAAATAATTAATTGACTTTAATAACTCTAGATGTCTAAGTGTCTTGATACTGTAGAGGTAAACTGTTCTGATTAAACCAGTGGTGTAATTTGGTTTTAACTGCCTGTTCACAATTCTGTATAATACCATTTATAAATGTAGGCATCTAAGAAAATTGTTGAAAAAATTTGAAAAATAATTATACTTATAATTATGTCAAAAACTGAAAAACAGCAAAAATTGAGATACCAGGTTTTGTTTGGACAGCAGCGATACATACATCGCGGGTACGAGTGGATCATACACAACAGTGCTGCTGGAGTTTTTAAACACTGTCCACTCACTGTCCGCGCTCTATTAGACACTCCTACCTTGTCAGTCCACCTTGTAGATGTAAAGTCAGAGACGATAGCTCATCTGCTGCTGCACAGTTTGTGTTGGTCATCCTCTAGTCCTTCATCAGTGATCAAGACGCTGTTGACCGGATGTTTTTGGTTCTTAGTCCAGCAGCGACACTGAGGTGTTTAAAAACTCCAGCAGCACTGCTGTGTCTGATCCACTCAGACCAGCGCAACACACACTAACACACCACCACCACGTCAGTGTCACTGCAGTGCTGAGAATGATCCACCACCCAAATAGTACCTGCTCTGTGGGGTCCTGTGGGGGTCCTGACCATTGAAGAACAGGGTAACAAAGTGTACAGAGAAACAGATGGACTACAATCTGTAACTGTAGAGCTATAAAGTGCTCCTTTATGGTCAGAGGAGCTGATAGAATTTTCAATCATTCTCCCTCCCTCTCTTAAATGTAGTCTGATGTACCTGCCTGTTCCATTGCCAGCTATTGAACATTAATCAGAATTCATAAATCATCTCATTTTAATTTTCGACAGTGTGCAGTCAAGCCTTTCCGGTGCCTGTGGTAAATTTTGAAAGTAGCAAAAAAAAAAAAAAACACACCCCCCAACTTTGTTACTCACCCACAACTTCTTGTTCAAACAAAGTAAATGGCAGTTTGCACTAATGGATGAAACACTGAGCGGTGATTTGTTCTTACAAACGTGAAGACGTTATCAGTCATATTCAGGCTCAGCCTCTGAAAGGCTCCGTCTCTGTTTCTCCTGGTTACCTCTCTCTGACAGCTCATGTTTACTGTGGCCGTGTCAGTCCACAGCGCTGTCAGCAAGCACTGCCATTAACCTCCGGCATAGAAATCTGGTCTCAAACCATAGTGCTGTCACTCTGCGTGACACGTCCCCCGGCGACAGGGACACGGAGATACTTTTGCCTCAGAGAGAGTCGCTTGCCAAGCCTCGCATCTTTCATTATGAGCCACTTTCTGTGAACGCTGCTCATTGTGAGTGACGTGAATAGCGCTGTGTGAATAGGGCAGTTCTGAATGCAGACGTCTGATGTTATTTTTGTGTGTGTGTGTGTTGGCAGGATTCAGTCAGGGTCGTACCTGAGCACTGGCTGGTTCACGCTTATCCTGGCCATGGACATGTGCAAGGAGATCCGAGTGTACGGAATGATCAACGACACTTACTGCAAGTAAGGCTGAAACATTTTATCTGTCTGGGTTGTATGCAAACGTTTTGGTGCCCCTGGTCAATTTATGTTTTGTTGAATTTTTTACGTGAAAATAAGTGAACACGTCTGCCACAGGAAACTTAAATGTCATTTTATTGCAAATTTTAGTGCACAATTTAATTTATTTTTAATATATAGGAACAACATATAAAACATACATTATAAAATGTGCCATAACTTTTGCAAAGGCCACATATTGTGTTTTAGTACAGTAAACAGTAATTGTGCATTAAAATGTGCAAAAGTGTGTTCTCTATAGAGGTTAACTTATTTTCACTTACAAAATCAACAAAACATAATTTGACCAGGTGGCGAACTTTTGCATCTGACTGTATTTTTTGCTGTCAACATTATCAGTGTACTATATTTGTTCTATATATACTTTACTATAGCTGTACAAACATACAAAAGTATGTTGCATGGGCTCCCGAGTGGCACAACCATCTAAATGTTTGCCTCATTGTCAGAAGATCGACAGTGATTCATGGCCAGGAGTCCAGGCAGAGAGGTTTGGGGTTGGTCTCATTTGAAAGCCCTGGATCTTCGGTATCGGAACAAGTTTCCCTCATCCACCTATGGAGTTCCAAACTTTTTCACCACCCCCTTTCCAAGTTTGAGCTAGTTCTCAGGATCCACAGGGATTTAAGCCACATAGTCGGTCTCGTTGGAAAGTACTGTTTCGCCTCTGCCACTCTTCTGGCTGAGTTCCAAGGCTCCAAACGTAAGGAGTTTGAGGGCCTGTACCTCTGGTTCCTCATGGGATAGACGGTCAGTGAAAAGAGGCACTCAAGCACTACGTCCCCCTAGAGTATGATGTTTGATCAGACTTTCCTCCACCAATGTAGGTTCAAAGTAAAAAGTGTCATTTACTTGAGCCCCTCCACAACTCTAACCATGCAGAGTTCGCTCCCCCACTCTCTGAGTGATGGGGCACCAAATTCCTGGGCCTGTATCTCTGGTTCACCAGGGGTTAGATGTTTAGAAGGAGTCTCATTCTAAAACCCAGGCCCTCCTCTCCGCAACTCTAATGTTGGCATTAATGTAAGCTTTGATTGCCAAATGACGACTCAAGGCAAGCAGAGGAAGTAACTCTGTGAAGGTAGCCAAATAGAGGCGTTATTGAGACCAGAGGTCCACAGCATCCCATAGACAGATTGTATGGGTCCCAAAATTGGTCATTTGGTAGAGCCTCTCAGTAACTCTTACCATGCTGAGTTTGGTCTCCCTAGGCCTCTTTCACGTTGGGTGATGGAGCTCTGAAGTATCAGGACCAAATCTCCAGTTCCAGAAGTCCAGTGGTGATGGAAAAGGAGAGGCTGGCTGGCCTGTACAATTTCAAGCTGATCTGTGCTTTTTCTGCCAAGATAGATATTTCAAGTTGATTACAATTCTCCTCCCATGTTTCCGGATGGCTTTCCCCCACCCCCCCATCCATGCTGGTCTGTGGACAGTAGCAGTTAGCGTTCTCCTCCAAGCATGTTGAGCTGTCCAGTGATGTTGCAGTGATAAGAGGTAGTGGCTAAATTCATGTGTATCATAGGAAGCACATGCGAGATTTCGCCCTTACTACCATCTTGCGAAAGCCTGAATTTTGTCTGTACTTTTATACTTTGGGCATCAAGCATGTCTTGGCAAAATCTGAGGTAAGGCAGACCCTTGATAACCAGCAGACTTGTTATGAGAATATTGTAAATCCAACCTCGAACCTTGAGTTAAAGGCCCAGTTTTAGACCCACAGACACCCAATAGTGCTGACATTTTCAGCCTGTTTCCTCACTGCTTAATTGGGATGGCAACACAGTTCCACTGAGGATCAGACGACTTCATGAGAGAAGGTAATGAGGCAATAATAAGTAATAATTTTGAGCAAAGCCAGTGAGATCTAGGTTTTCAACATATTTTGCCCATAATGTGCTCTTAATGTTTTCCCTTGTTGACCATCCTTGAGGGGTTATTTTTACTGGTCTTGTTCTCCTCCTGTGCATGCATCTGTTTACTGCTATAACCTGCCCCGTGCCTTTTGAGCCTTTGAACATCAAAGACCGTAAACTTTACGTCTCTGACCTAGTTGTATAGCCCTTAGTTATGTGTAGAAATATAAAATCAACGTTTTACTGCCTTTTTGCTCATGTTTTAATGAGTCGGGTTCATCCACGGAGTGTCTTATGCTTCACCTGAAGCTGTTTCAGCCATTAGTTAGCAACAGAAAAATGCCCCCGAGTGCGAATTTGCAAATCCCAAAACGGTCTGGTTGTTGTAATCCAAAAAAAACCCCTGAAGTTCTAAATATCCCCGATAAGCAAAGCATGCGATGGTGTGATTAGCATGTTTGTAAGTAGTCATTATCCTCTCCGCTGTTAGCGTCCATTATGCATTCCACTCCTGCTCCAAAACAATGGGCCATTTCATTTTATGGCGAATCTCAGCCGCCAGCATAGACTGGAACGCGGGGGAACAGTGGCCACAACAGAGTCATTACGATGCAAGGCAGTGCAGCGGGAAAGTATCTATTTTAACATGATGTGTGAAGCCATCGTAGCAATTGACCTCACTGGTTTGCCCGTAATTGAAATTCAACAGGTGCTGCAGGAGGGGGGGGGGAGGGGAGTGAAATTGAATTCATTTGTAACGTTTCAGGCGTTGGGATGGTTGGCGAGGTGAAAAAAAGTGAAAGGGACAGGAGAACTGTCACTCTTTGACTTTGCTGATTCAGAACAGTTGGGGTTTAAATGCTGAATCTTTTCATCACTAAAACAGGTTGTTTGCGGTTACAGGAATAGTTTGCCCCAGAATCTAATTGACACAATTGTCCCCTTATCCCAGATGTAGTCAGCTGAGGCATGTTTGTTGTCAAAATTTTGCTTCTATAATTTAGCTTTGAAGCTCCGAGGCCAGAGGTCGGCAACCCAAATGGTAAGGAGCGATTTTGTCCTTTCAACAAAATCAAACCACCTTGGGAGCCACAACATTTTATGTCCATTTTGCCATCTTGGCTGTAAATATGTCTCAGTATGTGCTGATGTACCAGTACAGGCTAAAAATATAAATGAAAACACAGGCTTACTTTGCTCTACGCAAGTAGAATAGTTTTTGTAAAATGTCTCTCAACATTCAACTCTTTACGTGGCTGAAGTCGCTTCTCATTCGCCAGCTTCTTGTTCAGATTTTCCTGTTCCACCAGAATGCAGCTGATGCACCATTGAAGGTGAAACGGGAACATTTGTACAATAAGCCGGCGAACGAGAAACTTCAGCTTCACGACTTTTTAGAATTTGACAGTTTCTCCTTGCAAATTAAATGTATCAGGAAACCAGCTGGAGTGATTATAGATGCAAATAAGTCCATTAGTCTCTAAATTATTGTTATTTGTCTTAAATCTTTCTTGACGTTTCGTTAGCTACTAGCTAGGTGAGATTGTTGTCTGCATTGCTATGGTGACCAGCAGTCTGTGTGCCAGTCTTCAGGGTTAAATAGTGAATTAGCAGTTCTACATTAACTCCAGAGTTTAAGACCATTTATTGTTAAACTGTGTTGAATGATCAGCAGAGCTTTATTTTACTGTAAAGGAGGATTATTTTATTTTTACCTACAAATTTGATTCAGCTGTGGAGCCACAACAGGACAGTAAAAGAGCTGCATGCGGCTCCACAGCCGCATGTTGCCGACCCCTGCCCTAGGCTAATGTTGTTAACAAATGCTAGAAGTCAAGTCACCCAAATCTTTTCTGTAAATAAATCCCCAAAACGTCTCTCATCCCACTCAAACCGCAGCCAGGTTTTCATTACGGTCACACAGTGTGGATGTGGTTTATGACACATCCATTTAGATAATGCAATTCTGATATTTCATGTGAGCGTCATGCAGGTGCATAAACGTTTAATTTATAGATTAAATTAGTGATTTCCGTTGTTTCTATTTATAAACATACAGCTTCAGTTTGAAAATTCATGAATCAACAGTTGCTTGTAAAAAGACTTGAGGGTAACAGTACATAGTAACATGTTACAGTAATGTTATTTTAGTAGTGTAGTGTAGCGTATTACTGGTTAATTTCTTATAATCATATTACAGTAACTCAGTAAAACTTCTGTTGCTTGCATTGCTCATATGTCTCTGACAGAGCAATATTAATTATGCACAGTGCATTTAAAACATAAATGTCCTCTCTGTATAGACTATCCACAGGTGCCCTTGCATGTACTTTGAGCATGCAGCACCTGCGATAGCTGACGGCGTGACTGCGTGAATATGAACAGCGGGTAAATTCTATCAAGAAATCTAATCATGCTAATATGAACCTGATGGATGAAGATCCCCTTACTGAAGACGAGAGAGAACCAACCATACCTCAGCAGACCAGCCTCGATTTCTATTCCGAAACTGCTCCTTAGGCTTTACGTTTGATTCATAAAGATTTTATTTTGAGGCAGCTGCTTTTAAACTGTTTCTAGTTGGGCTAGTTTCTCTGAACAGTATGAGCCATTCTTCATTTTTATCAGGCATGACTATATCTTGTTCAAAGACAGGGATACTGACAGGCGTTTTAAACGAAAGAATTATTTTTTCTTTTGTGCTGTTGCAGTTGTCTGTGTTTTAGAGACTAGCACAGAAGTGAAGTAGTGAATAACATGATTACTTTTCCCAGGAATTAATGAGTAAAGTAATTCATTTTCAGCTGGAGAGATGTAATTAGTGACTTTTAATGGACAATGTTTTTTGAATAACTCCCCCAGCACTGTTTTCGAAAAGAAACAACAAAAAATTGCGAGTGTTATCTGTAGTGTCCATATGCATCCATAGGTTTTGTTGATATTTATAGCTCACAGTGAAGTTATATTGTGCCCTGAACCACATCACCAACCTAAATGAAGGCCTGGATGCAGTTTGAGAGAAATTTTACAGATATATTTCCAGAAAAGATTTCGGTGACTATTGAATTCTAGTGTTAGCCTCATAGCTCCAGCGCAAAACTGAAGAAGCCAATGAATATAAAGTGTCTTGGCTGATCTGGAATAAGTGGACAGTTTGACCATTTGACCATTCCTTTAAAAGAGCAAGTGACTTTTTACAACGAAAGAATGGTAGTAAAATGGTGGGTTCTAAAAATGTTTTTCTTTCTCTTTTCTTTCGGTCTGCCACCCCGTTTCCCCTGCTTCGTCAGATCCGAAGGCTACAGGAAGGTGCCGTACCACTACTACGAAGCCGGAAGCCGCGACGAGTGTGCCGAATACCTCCTGCACGAGAGCGCCCCCTATGGTGGCCACCGTTTCATAACAGAGAAGGCTGTTTTTGCCAAGTGGGCCAAGACCCACCCCATCAAGTTCTTCTACCCAGAATGGCAGCTGTCGTGACCAGTGGAGGACGACGGCTTCTCCAGGAAGCCTAAAGCACTGAGGCCTGTCGGGCCAACACACTCCCTGTCTTAATGCACAAATAAGTAGCCATGCACGGGCCTGGACAATCACCACAAACCACCTACATACTGATTACTGATCTGCCCTCTGTTTAAAGAGAGAGTCACTCTGGTACGGAACTGACACCCTGTCGCTGGTGGGATCTTGCAAGACATCCTTTCCTCAACAGGACAGTCGAGACAGCCTCACTACATACTATACCGTTGGAAAGCCTCGGTCTTTTATTCTCCTTTATCTCTGGCACTGGACAAGAGACGATGTCATTCAAGGGAAGGACACGGTGTTGAAGAAAACAACCCTGGCGGAGACAAAGTGTAATAGGAAGCACTGATTACCTTTCATCAGACAGATAAACCTTGAAGCACCAGGCGAAGGTTGTAAGAGGGCCACATTCATTTAGCCTAGATGGATCTGCATTACTCTTAAGTTTATCTTGGTTGTGCCGGAGTCCCCTCCTTGCATGAATCTAACCTTAAGTAGCTTATGTTGCTACACGCCGGTTTTCGGTGGAGTGAAACAACCAGCAAAATGATCCAAATCCAGACAAAAAACATGAAGAATCTCATGAGAAATGCTAACCAACTCAGCCCTGCCACTCGTAGCTTTTCTTACAAAGATCATTTGTAATCGGTTCCAGTATCTTTCTGTCCTGAGCATGAATGTGACAGAGCTGGCCCTGATCCCTCTGAACCAAGACGAAAAGTATTAGCCGTTACGTTTTAGCATTCATAGCATTAGCATTGACGTTTTAGCATTCTTAGCATTAGCATTGAAGCGTTCGTATTATTACTTAATATTAAGTTATCATCTCTGCTGTGAACTGAGAGAACGGAAAGCAAATGCAGGCATTTGTAAGTTGACCTCAAGTCTGTTAAAGACGATAGCGTGAAGCTCTGTTTTCATGTGCCACAGCTAGCTAGCAAGATCGTCAGCGCTAAGAGTGCAACTGACTTGAAGAAGTTTGCCATTTGTACTGTAGACGGAAGTCCTTTCTTCGTGAGAGGTTGGGGCAACGTGCAGTATACGGACAGCTCCACGTGAAGTTCCTTTCTTTATGTTTAAGATTTTGTGCCTGTATACATTAGTAGCCAATGTAGACTCAGTGCAATGCCCCCATCCGCCTTTACCCCATATCCTTAGGCCTTATCTGCCTAAAAAAAGACCACTGTGTGCATAATCTGTCGGTATCCCTCCGAAGCCTGCTAGGACAAGGTGCCGTCTTTTGTCAAAAGGGCAGGCTAACTGTTCAGCTACTGTAGCTAAGTGCTGTAGCACCTTGTTAACCAGCAGACAATGCAGCGCCCCTGAGGGCTGCCACTGCGCAGAGACTCCTGCATTTGGTCTCAAAAGCAGCATGTGGCTTCAAAGCAGGCACTCATACGTAGCGTATTGTTCGGAATCAGCTTGTGATTGTTACCTTCTCCAGCAGCCTTCACTTACAGCGCTAATCCATTCTGCAGGCGCGCAGCATTGTCTCAGCTTAAGCACTCCGTCGGTCACACCGCAGGTAACGGAGCGACCGGCACCGAGACGGTTGCACCAAGGACCGCACTAACTGAAGCTTTGGACTTGAGCCTGCTAGCTCAAAGTGACAGGCACAGCGGTCAGCTCTGATCCTCCTCTCCTAGAGGACAAAGACACTCTTCTGGTCGGTCGCTCTGTTGACACTCTCAGCTAAGGGGTCGCGCCGGGACACTTTTTCACCGATCCTGGATTTCTCTTTCGTTTGGATGACTACGTGCTAAGAATCAGCAAGAATACTCAGCTCTCTTTGTGGAATTCGCCCCTGCCTATTTTGAGGTCGCACCGAGCTTCAGGTCGCACCAAGTCTTTCTTTTTTTCACACAGTCGATGCCTTTTCACCGTTCTGTGGCAGCATTAGTGGTACACAAGCCAAGAGCGCTAGTCTGTGAATGTTCACTTCAGATCTCTCAGATGTTCAGTACTTTGTGTTTTTAGTCACCTGTAAGCCTCCTTCCTTTTCATGTTGTTTTATTAAGTGTCTTAAGTGCTTTTTTAAACCTTGTGAAAGGCTGCATGTTTAAATGTACAGTATTAACACATCAAGTGTCCTTTTTTTTTTCTTTTTTGAGGTCGATCACATCGCGTATGTCTGCACACGGTTTATAGATCGAGCTTTTTACGTAAATGTATGAAAACGTATCTCTTTTTTTGGCGAGTAATGGTTTGTAATGAGTGCTTTTATCCCTCCAGTGTTAGTGCAGCCTCACGAAGGATCAAGTGTTTATCATCCTGTGTTGTGGACTTTGACGTGTTTTGGAAATTGCCTTGGAATTGAAGTGAATTTGTGAATCACTTGCGACATTTATGGTTTTGGTTTGTTTTTTTTTTTTGATGTGCTGATGTGCTTTGACATTTTGTTTTTTTTTTAAATGCGAACAAAAACATGCTTTTCTATGTGTTTGAAATGGGGCGCAAATGAACAATCACAATTATTTGAGACTTATGTGTTTAAAAATTTCAGCTCATTTTCGGAAGACTGTATTCAGCCTGTTCTCCACTCCTTTGTGTTGTAATGAGCTGGCGTGCTAATAAACATGGTCATAAATTAATGTTATATCGCCATTGATAATATCTTCAGCTGTATCTTAGTTAGTAATATTGTGGAAACTGTTAATGGTGTGACAACCTGCCCCACACTGAGGCAGCAGTGAGGGATTTTCCTCAGGAATAAGCCATGTGGATTATTAGAGCAGTAACTGTTTATAGATCAGAAATCTGTAAAATCTTTATTTGCAGTTTGAATCCCTTAGAAGTCACAGTTATTGTTAATGATAAAAGCATTCAGTAATTTTATATGAATTTTATCTCATTCATAGCTTACTGAGTCAAGCGAAGAAATGATGTTGAAAGAGCAGATTCTAAACTTCTGATCTATACCACATTTGTGTTTATGAACAGTAAAAGGAGATACTTTTATTTATTATCTTATTTATGTTTTTATTTTAAATTAACTTAAATTTGGTGAACAGTCCATACAGTCTACTTTCGCAGAAAGAAGAAAACATCCTTTACATTTTTGCCATTGTTGACATTGAAACAGTCAGAAAAAGTCAGAAAAGTAGACTTGAAGCTGTTGATACAGAATATAAATGTAATTCATTATGTAACTAACAGTGTATTTTATGGGGAAGTACCGATATGGAATTTCTGATATAATAACCAACAATTAACACCTCATTTTAGCCAATACAGATGTCAATAAATTATCATTGCACCTGTGTCATTAACATAATCCTCCTGTTCTGGTTTGAAGATCAGTTGATTAAGCGTCAGCTCCCGCACTGTCACTGAGTCTCAAAACGACTGACTGCGAAAGTGTTGCTATTATTAATACCTCTGTTAATATATCTGCTGATGTTAAAGGGACGTCACTGACCATGTGTCCAGATCTACAGCAGATGTACTTACAGATATACTACTGCTACTATCAATAATAACAATAATAATGCTTTTTCTTCTGCTGATTTTGAGACGGTCTCTAACACTAAACTGGACATGGGAGCAAACACAGATAAAGCTTAATCTATGTCTAATAGAAGAACATAAACACTGACTACAGTAAAAAGTTTTGGTGGTAAATCATTTATTTGGCCACGAAACTAACAAAGAAGTGAGACGGTTGCACCGAGGAACAGGTAGAGCGCACTAACTGAAGCTTTGGACTCCGGCTCGCTGGCACCAAGCGACAGCCACAGCGGTCAGCTCTGAACCTCCTCTCCCAGAGGACAAAACAATCTTTGGACCGGTAACATAATATAGAATGCAATTGTGAATGTCACACAAAGTTTACCATCCAAAGCTGTGGTGTCTGTAGTTGCTTAGCTTGGCCTGATTGTACAGCTGAGACATGACTGTTTTTCCAGAGACCTGAAGCTGTTTTGTTTGATGTGTGAAACCTGACTCTGTGGCCTGAGAACATCTTAAAACATACACCGTTTCATACAGAGAGTTTGCAGGCATGACGTCTGCCTGAAGCACCAAGCATGTTCAACCAGCTCAGCTCAACAGCCAACCATTTGTACAGCAGATTATGAAGTATACTGAATTATTATCACTTCCATCATCAGACTGATAACATTTAAATCTTCCTATTTATCTGCAAATAATATTTCAGTGGCCGATATATTGTGCACACCCAGTAATTTCTTGCATAATTAAATAAATTCCCAAGGACTTTTATTGTGGCATTTTCTTTTTCATACAGAAATATACAAAACAATTCTCCATTCATCTGAAAAAAATACATCTTTGGCTGATATATCGTGCACCCCGAGTAATTTTTTACATAACTGCAAACATTCTCAAGTGCTCTTATTGTAGCCTTCTCTTTTTCCCACAGCATTATATGAAAAATAGGGCGTTAAATTATTACTGGTAATTATCAGTAATTCCAATATCAGACCAATAATATTTAAATTTATCTGCAAATAATATTTTAGTGGCCTATATATTGGGATTTCTTACACTTGCATAAATTCCCAAGGACTTTTACTGTGGCGTTCTTTTTCATATAGCAGTATACAAAACAATTCTCAATTTATCTGCAAATAATACATCAGTGGTTGATATATTGTGCACCCTGAGTAATTTCTTACATAGTTACATAAATTCCCAAGGATTCTTATTGTGTAATTCCCTTTTTTGTACAGTATACAAAAAAAATTCTCCATATATCTGCAAGTTATACTTCGTACGTACAGCATATATTTATCAGTAAATATATCAGCAGCCGATATATCGTGCAACCCTAGTAATTTCCTATGTTCTCATTTATCTGCAATTCCTTACATATTTTCATAAATTGGGTTTACACTGCGTATCAAACCAACAGTACTAACTGTAGACACTAAAGGTAGCGTAGATGTGCCGGTTCTCCTCTGTGATTAGAACACATTTCCACACAGCAGCAGTGATCAATAGCCTCGCGTCCCAAATTAAGAGACCTCAGCATGATTAAGAGTTTCCATTAGGCACTAGTCACTACTTCATTACTATGAAAGCGTGATAAACCCGCCCTGCTGGAGCGTCCTGGTGGTCCAGACCTGCATTAAATGGATGGAGATGGACCTGGCTGGGTGAACTGCAGACGAGGCCGGTGTGTGTCCGTGCTTTGATGACATTTCTGCAGTATTATCTGAAGATGACGGTGCGGGACCGTTGTTTTTGTGGACGTATGTGCTTCAGAGGGCGGAGGACGTGATTAATAGTGAAGCGGCTCTTCTCATTTAAGTGTAAATGAAGTGTGCGACAGTGAAGGAACGCGAGCTTTTTCAAAATCCCTTAGCATGTTTCCCCCTGCGTCACTCACAGAATACGACCCCAGCTAAAGGTCAGGCCTGATTTACAACCACTCAACACCCACCCAACCCCAAAAAGGCTAATCTGCAGACACACCTCCAAAGATCAGTCTGTTACTCTGTGTCAGTAGTTCCTACAGTTATTCTGATGGTTGGGAAACAAAATTGAGAGTGTTACCTTTCAAATAATACTTAACCCCTACCCCTTGTTTTCGAGTGTCATCTTCCCCCTTGAAACTGAGTTACAGGGGGTAGTGGTTGAAATCATCCCTATGAAATGGGACCCTCAAATAAAAAGAGCATTACTTCATTAACAGCTACTAGCGCTGCTCTTTAGGCTCTATAGTTTCTCTATAACAGAGCATTTCATATCAAACCACTCTGACTGACTTTGTTTGCATCTTAACCACTTAATTATGCAGGAATTTTGAAAACCTATATGGAGGCTCCTATATAAACCTATATGTAACTAAAGCCCAGCAGTGAGGAGCTGAACTTTACCCTCCTCTGCTGTCACTGCAGACTGGCAGGGTCGCCTACAGAGCAGCGCTAGTAGCTGTTAATGAAGTGATGCTCTTTTTATTTGAGGGTCCCATTTCAGAGGGAAGATTTCAACCACTACATCTTGTAACTCAGTTCCAAGGGGGAAGATGACACTCGAAAACAAGGGGTAGTGGTAAAATGAAGAAATGGGACTGGGCCCTTGTCTCGTTTCCATGCTAAGGCCAGCATGAAAAGCATCAAAAACGTGGCCGGCAGTTTCCACCTAAAATGTTATTTTTAATAAAGTGTGGCTGCTCTCTGCCGAACAGATGGCTCTACCATATGCACCGTGCCACCACCTATGCCTCTGCACTGAACTCAGTCACATTATCACAGCACCGCTTTTCTGGGCCCCTCTAAATGACATAAACATCCAGTTTTCCTGGGAATACTGTGATGGGGTACCTGTCTATATCGCCGTCTCAGCTTAGCATAATTAAACTGGGAACCATCCTCCCCAGCTGACATTCCTGAAGGCCACTTCACGCTCACTGGCCACTTTATTGGAAACACCCACCATTGCTGGTGTATAGGAGCTTATTTGAATGCAGTAGACAGGGGCTGACAGCGACAGATGTGCTAGAGTCTGTAATTTAAACTGAAGGGGAAAATAAGTCAACACATGAGAACGAACTTAAATATGGCAATTTATATTAACTTCAGCTATTTAACCAACTCTGCTGCTGCTCTTCTACTCCCGAACTCCAACTCCCAGGATTCAGAGGAGGACCACATGACTCTCATGCATCATCCTATCCAGATCTGCTGTGCCTGATTACTGCTTCTCCTCACCTGGTCCAGCCCTATATATATTGTTTGTTTGTCCTCACTTTGTGAAGTGTTGCCCCAGTTTCACTGAGGGTTGTTTAACTGCCTGTCCTGTTGTGTTTTTGACCTGCTTTGTTCTTGTGTTTTTTGACCTTTCGCTGGACGTCCCTTTTGGCTTTTGCTCGTGCTCTCTTAGGTTTTGACCTTCGCCTGTTTAGTCACTACGAGTTTGGATCTTCCCTTTTCATTAAAACCTCAAACCTGGTTTTTATCCACGAGCGTCTTATTTGTTCTGACTCGTTACAGTTTGTTTAACATATTACTACATAAACATATATATATTCGTCAGACTGATGAGAATGTGCATAAATTTGCTATAGATGGTTCTACATAGAACTTTTTTTAAGAGAGTTCTATATAGCACCCAAAAGGGTTCTTCCATTGATAGAAGCTTGCCCTTGTTAGAACAGAGGAACCCTTTTGGGTGCTCTATAAAACCATTTTCAAAAAGCTCCATATAGAACCATCTCCAGCACATTCTCCGTCAATCTGAAGAACCCTTTCATGACGCAAAGAACCCTTTAACAATGCAAAGTGTTCTCTTAGTGTTCATGGTTCTACATAGAACCATTTTCTTTTTTAAAGAACCCTTGAAGAACCGCCTTTTGAGGAGTGTATGCTGTAGAAAATGACAAATCACTACGCCCTGCTGGTGACATCCCTTATAAATGAAAATAATGTGTGGCCATGACTTAGTAAGGTGTGGGAATGAGATAATTACACACTTTGTTAGGACACATTACTAAATCATGGACATGCATTAGGATCTCATTCCCATGCCTTACTAAGTCATGGCCACACATTAGGATCTTGTCCCCACACCTTACTAAGTCGTGGCCACACCTTAATTATCTCGTTCCCATGCCTTACTAAATCAAGGC